GTTTAATGACTTTATCCATGTCAAAATTACATGTAAGAAAAATTCTCACATGAAATTCTGATTAGAATAATAAATAAAGTGAATACTTGAGTGATACCATCAAATTTTTCAATTGTAATCTCTCAAGAAGTTGTATTAAATAGTCTATAGTCTTTGAGGTTAAGATCATCATCTTCATTAAAAAAAAAAAGAGTGCAAATTCTAAAGGTGTCTTTTCAAAAACATCTACCCTCAGTTCGCTTCAAGCATTTACTATTTTATTTTCTTTAAATGTCTTCTATGAGTCTGAGTATGTTGGCACAGGTAACACAGTGGGATAAGTAAGTCACACTTGGGCTTTGCCCTTCACCCCACATGCACACATGCCTCTTCCTGGTGATTTTCCTGCCCACCCTGGACTGATTTTTCATGGTCCAGTGCACAAGACTGACAATGTGGATGAATGATGCCTCCCTCTACTTAAAATTCTCTTGCCATTAGACACCAGTGTTACATGGAAGACATTTGAAAATTATGCTGAACTAATGGAGAAATAGCCTGCTTTGACATGTAAATATCAGTTCTACAGAAAGACTTAGAATTAAATCTAAGGATGTTGGTCTGTCATGTTGGTGTGAATTGGTCAGCAAACACGTTGTGTACTGGTTCTATGTATAGAATCAATGAATATATTGAATATATATTGCTTTACATATACACTACTTCAGCTTATGCACCCTTTAACTCTTGCTTAAGAATAAATAGTATCTGTGTCTGCTTCTACTTCCATCAGTTGTAGAGAGGGAGGAGTGATAAGCACAGGGGTCAAGACCAGGCTGAGGAAACCCACAGAAACAGATGAACTGAACAAGAGGGAGCTCATGGTCCCCAGACTGATAGCTGGTAAACCAGCATGGGACTGAATCGGGCCCCCTGAACATGGATGCCAGTTAGGAGGCCTGGGAAGACTATGGGGCCTCCGGTAATGGAACAGTATTTATCCCTAGTGTACAAGTGGACTTTGGGAACCCACTCCCCATAGAGGGATACTCTCTCAGCAGAGACACACGGGGAGGGCCTAGGCCCTGCCCCAAATGATGTGGCAGACTTTGATGATCCCCAATGGAAGACCTCACCCTCCCTGGGGAGCAGAATGGGTAATGAGATGGGGGGTCATGGGAGGAAGAGGAAACTGGGATTGATGTGTAAAATCAGATTGTTTCTAATTTAAATTTAAAAATCTAGAGACAAAGAAAAAATATATAATATGGGAATACAACAAATCAAGTGACTCACATAGAACAACAACAAAAAGTACTTCTTGTTCCATGAGAATCACTTCTTTCTTGGTATCCAATTTAGAATGAGTGGTAGAGACATAATTGATGACTGAGGTTTCTGTTCTGCCAAGTCCTGTAGCTGTTTAGTCCCAAATAAACACACAGAGACTTCTATTAATTATAAACTGTTTGGCCAATGTTTCAGGCTTCTTACTATCTAGCTCTTTCTTAATTATTAACCAATTCCTATTAATCTATGTATCTCCACAAGCTCTTGGCACACCTGGTGATGTCCAGACCTCTTGCTTTCTCAGCAGCTACATGGAATCTCTCTGGTGGCTCCTCTCTATATTCCTTTCCCAGTTTTCTCCTAGTCTGTTATCCACTGCTTATACTTCCTGCCTGGCTAATGGCCAATCACCATTTATTCATCAAACAACGAGAGAAATATATACTCACAGTATACAGGAAAATATCCCCCATTATGTAATGAATTTTATTTTTAAATGTTATCTTCTACCCTTCTTTATTCTCATTTCTGACTGTTTGGACAGCAAAGGAAATAGGTAATTATGGGATTAAAGGTATTTGCCACCAACGCCCAGCTTTTGATGTTCATATACTAAAATACCACAAGGAGTCCTACTTTACTTCAGCTGTCAAATTAACAAATCCTAGGGTCATCTAAAGGAGTCTCAGTTGAGGGAGTCCTTGACCTGATTTGTTTGTGACCTATTTATTGGTAAGCAATTGTGTTGAATGATGATTGATGTGAGAGGGTCTAGCCCATTGTGATTGGCAACATCCCTTTTCAGGTATGGCTGGTCTATAGAATCAAACTAGCTGAACACAAGCCAGTGAGCAAACAAATAAGCATTCCTCATAGTCTACCCTTGGTTTACTATTTGAGCTCTTGCTCTGACGTCTCTTAATGATAGCTTTTGGCCTGGAAATATGAATGAAATAAATTTATTCCTTCCTTCCCCAAATTTATATGAGTCAGAATGGCTTTTAAAACCAAGAGGAAGGCAAACTAGAATACAAGGCTATTCGCTTCCTTTGCAAATTTCAGTTGTAAAATGTACAATTTTTTAACATAAAAATCATAATACTCGTTTGTAGACAGGATGTGATCAGACAAAACAAAGTTGACCAATTCTTTGAAAGAAAATAAGTAAGTTGTTTTGAATTAACTAACTCATCCTACCATCTGTCTTGTCTTAAACATCTAGCTGGTCTATTCATATTTCTATAAAAACAGAATGGTTTAAAGTGAAAAGGATAAATATATCAAAGGATTACAGAGTGAAGATCAATTGTGATATTTATGCAGCTCTAAATGTTAGCCAATGAATCCATTTAGCCAATGAATCCATTTTATACTTTTGATGTATCAAAAACCTGAAATATGCATTTGTTACCCAGTATGTTCTTCAGGATGTTTCCATATATAAAAGTACAGTTAGAATTACTCAATAAAATGCAATTCAGGGTTAGCAATGGACAAACTACAACTATAAACAGCAATGTTAGGCATGAGATACATTTATTAAACATGGAAGATAAGAGAAACAGGGAGTCCATACTATAACAGTGAAGGAAAACTGAGACAAGATGCCAGGAGGCCAGCAAAGTCTACCTTTACTCACTTACAAAATCACTCACTCTTGTATATCCTACACCCAATGATAGTCCATGCTGTTTCTATCTCTACATTACAGACTTGGTTAAAATATGCTCATAGCTTCAAAAACAGAGAAGCCATTATGCACTTAACAATGACCAAAATATTACAAAACAAACAAATGAAAAATTAGAGATGAAAGGGGAAAGGGTCACCATCCCCTGAGCAAATTGAGAACATGAGAAGAGGGGGGAGGAAGGTACGAGGGTGAGAAGGGAAGAAAAGGAACGATGCAGAAGTCATGAGGAAGCAGAAATTTTGAGTCAGGTGTTGATTAGAAGAAAGGACCTATGATAGGTAGGATTTTAGAGAGGGGAGTGGTAGAGGAGGAAGGGAGGGAGAAGGGATCTGGGATTGTCATGTAATTCAATCTTGTTTGTAATTCAAATATATAAAAAATAATAAAACTAAAAAAAGAAAAAATAGAGATGATATATTTCACAAAGAAATAATTGTTTCTAATAAAATATTGGAATCAAGGCTCATTGTCTATGTGACTATGTCGATGTTTTGGTTGTACTCCATTCTGTCAACAACTTTGATTAACTGGCAATGATATTTCAGGATAATACTACATCAGATCTCTGATACATGTATTCCAGAGAGCAGTCCAGGGTCTTTGTGAATTATAATGTGTTGACTTTTTTCTGCTTCTAATGTCTTCAACAGTACAGTAACTGTTTGTCTCATTTCTAACAAGTGTCTGTCAGCAAATTGATCTGTTAGGATAATTAATTAGAAAGGGAGGCTATAGGTTACTGATTCTACCTTTAAAACAAGAGTTCAAGATGTTTTCTTAGATGATTTTTCATCACTTGCTTCTTACTCTACTCTCCATCAGTCTTCCTTTTTATTTCCTTCTATACAATACAGAGACACACGGAGGACATCATTTACAGCACAGAGAATCCAGTCATATATCATGTTTGCACATAGATTTAATGTTATTGTGATGCTGGAGACATATGAACACAAAATAGTACAGAGATTCTGTTATAGTGTCATATGTGGCTACAGATGGAAATCAGCCTGAAAAAACACAAGGTACTAGCAGATAGGTGGGAAAACATGGGGGTAATACAGACCCTAGCAACTGGGCAATGCAGGAGAGCTGTGGAAAGAAATTGACCTCCTATTTTAGAATCATATCTGAAACCCTAGAAATTAGTTGGGTGATCTTAGCCTGCCCAAGACACCTCTTTGTGCTTAGCTGATTTTCTCACTCACCGTCATAACAGTTTACACATTTTATTGTTATAATTATCATGCTGCCAACTGCCCTTCCTCTCTCATTGAGTTTGGCATTACCTTCAACCTGATCTATAAGTTAAAGAAACAATATGGAATTCAGTTAGATACTCTCAAACTCTAGAGAATTTAAAACCAAGGAATATTATTACTTAGAATATGTCTAGCTTAAATCTTATTTGCTCTGGGAAAGCAGCATAAGCCTGTTCCAGACTCCCTGAACATGGATGTCAGTTTGGAGGCCTCGGCAATCTATGGGGCCTCTGGCAGTGGATAAGTATTTATCCCTAGTATATGAATGGACTTTGGGAGCTCATTCCACATAGAGGGATACTCTCTCAGCCTAGACACAAGGGGGAGGGCCTAGGCCCGGCCCCAAATGGTATGACAGATTTTGAAGATCCCCATGGAAGGCCTCACCCTCCCTGGGGCGCAGAAAGGGGATGGGATAAGGGATAGATGGGGTTAGGGGAGGAGGGGAGGGAGAGGGAACTGGGATTGACATGTAAAACAAGCTTGTTTCTAATTTAAATTTAAAAATTCTTATTTGCTCCTCTTTGCTTAAAGAGAAAAACGTTCATAAGAAACATGCAAACAAGAAGAAAGATCAATCTTGGGCATTTAATGCTATGATCAGCAGCAACTGGATAAAGGGAGGATTTTTCTTGTGATTGTTCATATTTCCTACTGTGCTTTATATAAGTGGCTGCAGTGGCCCCAATCTTTTGGATAGGGAAGCCACTCAAGGCATCCTGCTGCATGTTTAACAGTAGAGCTGGATCTCTGTGTCCAGGCGTTTCTGTCCTTACCAGAAACACCTAGACTGCAGAACAGAAGGTTTCAACTTTCACCTTCAGGACCACTTCCTCCTCCTTGGCTCACTCAGCAGGAAGGGGAAGTCTCTGTGGGTGTGTGGAGCTTTCCCTCAGATTAACGTGTTTCTGGCTGCTGGAAAAATTAAGAAAACTAAATAAATAATATCGAGCACCAAGGGTAAAATAAACAGCTTTATTGCAAGGATCACCAATAAAGGTAATGAATTTTTAAAAGCAACCAGCAAGACCTCCCCCCCAACCCCACCCCTTGGGCTTCAGAAGTCACTTCTTCCTTACATAAAACATTCATCACCTTACCTCTGAAAATGATTTCTGACGATGACCCGGATATGAAAATTAGGAACCAGCCAGAAAGCATTTCCTCTTCTGTATGGTGCCAGCCGCCCCCTCTACGTCTTTTCATTTATCCTGGCAGTGGTTTGTCTCTTTGCCTTTAAAAGTTAAGTCCACCTTCATCGCACATTGTAGAAAGAAGTGAAATTAAACTGCAGAGTGTTCCAGAGGAGAAAATCTACTTTATTCATCTCTCAGCCCTACTTTAACTTACACTGACCTAATTACAGCCCACACCAGGCGAGGCCAAGTTGGCAGAAGGAGCGCTTCTGCCACCTAGTGGACATTTCTCTGAACTATGCACTGAGACTTCACCTTTTTTCCCCCCTCCTCTATTTTTGAAAACTCTGGCACAAAAGTGCAAATGACCTTCTCTGATACCTGCATGAACACTAAGTGTCAGCATCCAGCGTTGCTCTGTTCTTTGGGAGAGTCCACAGTGTAATGCTCGTCTAAAGAACTCCATGTAGAGAAAGTTGAATTAATGGCTCCTAGGATGAACTATCACTGGAGAAGCATTTTATTAAGACTGCATTATGTGACATTTCGTGAAGACAAAATTGAAAATCATAATGTAAATATTAATGCTACTTAAAGCAACTTTTGATATACTATGTGTTGGACTGAATACTTAAAAGTCTGACAACCCTACTCACTAAATCAATTGCCCTCCCTCCTAGCAACCACACAATTTTGCTAGCTGAATGATTTCTTCTGTGAAGCTCCAGGCTTGTTTGTTTGTTTCTGGGAGTAGGAGTGGACATTTAAGAATGCTTCGTTCTCTTTTTCTGGCTTCATTAACGAGTTATTGATTAGTAACTTGAAAGAAAACCTTGGATGAAAAATGGAGCCAGCCTGAGTCACCAATGCTAATGAAGACCAGGGAAGAAAAGAAAAATAAAAGGCACTCCTGTCCCCAAGCAGCAGGGTATCCTGACTCTTCCTCCACTAGTGCACGAGGCAGCCATGGCTCTCCTATCTGCCACATCTAGCAAGGAAGCCAAATCTTTCAAAACCTCCCATGCATAAAGCAGAGGAAATCTCTTGGTGCAGGGAGCAGTTAATTCTGGGATCATGAAAATAGACACTAAGAACCACAAACACATATATTTCAACAAAGCATTCAAAGTGACAATATCATTTGTAGTACTGCAATGTGTCGTGGCCATCTTTAATATCATGCATATGGATTAGTATATTATGAAAACTGAAAATGATGAGAATACTTCATTATTATTCATAGAGGCTCCTTAAACACTTACTGGTTACAAGACCTTGTTTAGTAAGTATGATTACATGTTTCATAAAAAATACATCATAAAAACTCACAATATGGGGCCAGAAAGGTAGTCCCATGGCTAAGACCACTTGCTGTTCTTTTAGAGGACCAGAGTTTGGTTACCAGCACCCACATTTGGCAACTCACACCTGCCTATAAAGCAAGCTCTAGGAGATTTGGTGGCATCTTCTGGCTTTCACAGGCATCTATATACATGTGACATAAATAAACACAGGCATACATGCATACACATGAATAAAAATGAAAACATTACAAGTAAAATAAATTATATTTTATTATATTCAAAATAATGTGCTTGTTTACTCATCATTGCTTGGTGAGAGAATTTTGAGTCCCCTGACAGCAAGCACCAGGTTTGTATAACAAGAGAAGGTTAACATGACTGAGATCAGTTTGACCTTTTTCGTCTCTCACCAACCTGCAACCTGGAATAAGACAGAATGAGTGTGTGCTTCAGTGTGTAAAACAAAACCCATCATCATGTCCTCTAGTTCCCCATTCAGACTGTCTTTATTTTTGTCTCAGGTTATTTCACTGGCTTCCTACTGGGTAAACCTATTTCCATTGTGCAACGGTTTTAGACAGATTCATTCCTTCCATTGTTGTCAAGTACATGAAGTCAACTCAAACCCTTCCAAATATGTGTACCAGAACTCATCTCTCTTTACAGTTATCTCTCCAGCACCCAGATTGGTTCTGACTTTACATTTAAGTCAATCCTTTAGAGAAGCTTTGTCAGTTTTCTAAAAACTCATGTAGTAAATTTGGTTTTAACATTTTAAATGGATCATAATTGTATGCAAACAGAAGAGAGGTATGGGGTTTGGGGAGATGGAAACTTGAGGGAGTAGGTTGGGGAGTCTGGGCATGGAAGGTCATTTTGAGGGTAGAGCTGACAGAGAGAGTAAAGAAAGAAACATCTTGATGGGGACAACATTTCAGTTAGGGAGAAACCTGGTGCCAGGGAAACTCCCTAGAATCCACAAGGATGACCCCACCTAAGACCTCTAGCAATTGGGGAGAGGCTGCCTGAACTGGCCATCTACTATAATCAGATTGGTGACTACCCTAATTGTCATCAAAGACCCTTTACCCAGTAACTGATGGAAGCATATGTAGAGATTCACATGTTCATGTTATTCTTGAGAAAAGTATAATATAATTATTGTAAACAGTAGTTAAGAGGAATGTAACTGCTGCACTGCTGCAAAGAAAGAAAATACACTTGATATATAAGCCTTGCTTGTTACTTTTTCTTTTTCCTAATCATCCTCTACTTTAATAAAATACAACAGCACAACTGAAAGCTCCAGCATATAAAGAAGCCAAGGCACCCCCAGGGGAGTAGACGCCAGGAAATAATCAAATTGAGGGCTGAAGTCAATAAAGTAGAAACTAGGAAAATGATACAAAGAAACATTGTAACGAATAGTTGGTTCCTTGAGAAAATCAACAAGATAGACAAACCTTTATCCAAACTTACCAAATGGCAGAGAGTGAACATGCAAATTAATAAAATAAGAAATGAGGAGGAGGACATAACAGACACTGAGGAAATCCAGAGAATCATCAGGTCATACTTTGAAAACCTGTATTCCTCAAAATTTGAAAATCTAAAGGAAATGGACAATATTCTGGATAGATATATCTTACCAAAATAAGCAAATTAAATAGACCGATAACTCCTATTGAAATAGAAGCAGTCATCAAAAGTCTCCCCCCAAAAATAAAAAAATAAAAAAAGCCCAGGGCCAGATGGCTTCAGTGTAGTGCAGAATTCTACCAGAATTTCAAAGAACAGCTAATACAAATTCTCCTCTAAATATTCCACATACTAGAAGCAGAAGGGTCATAGCCAAACTCTTTTTATGAGGCTACAATCACTTTGATACCCAAGCCACACAAAGACACAACTAAGAAAGAGAAGTACAGACCAATATCCCTTATGAAGATTGACGCAAAAATACTCAGTAGAATACTGGCAAATCAAATCTAAGAACACATCAGAGAAATCTTCAATGATCAAGTAGGCTTCATCCCAGGGATGCAAGGATGGTTCAACATACAAAACTCTACGAATGTAATCCACCCTATAAACAAAGTGAAAAAGGAAAACCACATGATCATCTCACTAGATGATGAAAAATCCTTTGACAAAGTCCAACAAACCTTCATGATAAAGGTCTTAGAGAGATCAGGGATAACAGGAACATACCAAAACATAATAAAAGCAATATACAGCAAGCCAACAACCAACATCAAACTAAATGGAGAGAAACTCAAAGCGATTCCTCTAAAATCAGGAAGGAGATAAAGCTGTCAACTCTTTCCATACCTCTTCAATATTGTCCTTGAAGTTCTAACTAGAGCAATAAGACAACAACAGGAGATCAAGAGGATACAAATTGGAAAGGAAGAAGTCAAGCTTTCACTATTTGCAGATGATATAATAGTTTATGTAAGTGACCTGAAAACTCTACCAGGGAACTCCTACAGCTGATAAACACCTTCAGCAAAGTGGTAGGATACAAGATTAACTAAAAAAAAATCAGTAGCCCTACTGTATAAAGATGATAAACACTCTGAGAAAGAAATCAGAGAAATATCACCCTTTGCAATTGCCACAAACAACATAAAATACCTTGGAGTAATGCTAACCAAACAAGTGAAAGACCTGAATCATAAGGATGTTGAGTTTTTAAAGAAAGAAATTAAAGAGATGCCAGAAAATAGAAGGATCTCCCATGTTCTTGGATAAAATACACAAACTATTTCTAAGTACAGTTTTATTGATGAAAAGGGCTAAATAGAAAGTGTTATTAAACTGTGGGAATAATTATAATGAATGCCCAAAATGACTTAATAAACTCAATGTGAAGGCCAAGTCTGGTCAGCTGGATACATCATTGCTCTTGGATTTAGAATATGGCCTATATACTAGATAAAGTCCCGGTTCTTTGTTATATTATCTTCAACCTGAAAACATTATGTAGGTTAGCAGGGGATGGGAAATGTATACACCATGTATTGTTATTTACTGGGCAAGTCCAGGAGTTTTATTTTCTAAATAAGACAATTAAATTTCAAAACTGAATTAAGATGAGTGATATAATAATCTATCAGGTCATAAGTTGGCAGAGATTGATTAAAATTCATTGTAGTAAGAGACAGCATAAATAAAAACAAGAAATGTTAACCTTGGTAAATTGGGTATCTGAGATATGCCAAGTGTACCATGTGACCTTTGCTATTTTTTGTGGTGGGTGTCTCCAATTAGCAGAATAGAATTTGAATCCTAATTAAGGAAAAGATAATTTTTATTCTGGAAAACAAATGTGTAATTTGAGAAGCAATTCACATAGTATCATATATATATTTGGCCCAAGAACAAGGGAACCAGAAAGCAAAAGCAAGTCAATACAGTCATGGAGAGATGTCATAATGCACAGCAGACCTCAGACCTTGATGGATCTCCAAGGTGTGATGAGATGGAAGAGACCAGTCTATGCTATCTTAAAGTTAGTTTAGAAACAGATTAATTCATGATTATACTGAAGGTGTGTTTTACATTTTAGCTAAATTATTTAAGGATATGTCAATGCTATTTTAAAACATGAACTTACATTAATCTAAGGGAAATGGAGATTTCATATGTCCGCTTCAATACTTAAAGCACAAAGCATCTCATTGAAAGCAGAGTATTTGAAGATGTAGGTTTCCTGGCCTTTACCGTATAAAGATATGAGAAACTTTTCAAATCTGTCTGACCTTTTCCCTAACTTCATGAATTTGAGATTCCCTATTTTACCTATATGGAAAAAGTTTTAAAACTTTTGATGTCCACAAATACTAATCACTTGGATGACTTTACTTATTTATTTTGTACACAGTAGGCAGTTTAAGAGGATGTACTAACACATTTACATATATCCCCCACACAAACACACTTTAAGAAGAATTAAAACTGAACATTTGTTTTATATTAAATATTCATTAGTATATTTGAGGAAATAAAATATATTCATAAGCTGTTTTAAATTTTTAATGCAAAAGATTTTTACCACCAAATGGATTCATTAAAGATGAATCCTAAATTGATGTGTTTTTTCTTTAATAAATATGCCAAGTTTAATTATCCCAATCTAAATAGTATAGGATTGAACATTAAATCCACTGTAATATTATTTATGCTGTATTATCTTTATTGATATAAATTTAATTAAAGTATGAGTTGGCAAAGACCAAATTACTTAATTATTTAAACAAGGCTTAACTTACTCATCGCCAGACCTAAAGCTTAAACATGCACCAAACTAGCCTGTCTTTAGTTTCCTACAAGTACATTCCATGGAAATAAATTAGGAAAAAAACATAGCTAGTATGCTTTTTAATGTTTTAATCTAATAAGTAGGAACTTTAATCAAGTACTTCAGAGAAGTCAGTTTGTAGTTGGTCAAAAATAAAATTCTGAAGGCATGTCTAGAGAATGTGGTTTTCTGTAATTCCTTTTAGATTTTGTATTTTATAACTTAGGTACAAACATTACTTGGACTTACATATTTTCAATCATTTGCCTTCTTCTGGATTTTCACAGAATTGGAAAAGCAATGAAGCCATGGTAAATATTCCTTGAATGTTATATTCACGTGTACATGTATTCTTCATTTTTATATTTTATTCATAGGAGTGCAATAGGTAAATATCAAATATTTATAAGTGAACAGGAAAAATCCTAAAAAATGAATAAATGAAGGAAGGAATGGAGAAATTCTTCCTTTTAAAAAAGTGAAACTCAGGTTTAAGGCATTAACTTGCTTATTTGTAAATATTCAAAAGTTTGAAGCTCTAATTGACAAGCTAAGGGTCTCACTATAGTATATATTCTCATAGATTCAATAGCTTAAGTACATAAAAACTGTAGAGATAGAATTTAGAGAAATGATACAATATGAAAAAGTTTTAGTTCACTATCTCCATAAACATTAACTGAGATGATTTTAAAATCAATGATAGCAGACAATGCATGATATCACTACTGGATCATAGTAGTAAATGAAGACTCTAAGGTAAATAGGAGTATTGAGATAACAAAATAAATTTATGTGATCTGTTGAACAAACAAATAAATTAGATTATTATCAAAACAAAAGGAAAGCTTAAGATGTATTTTTTGCAAATAAGATAGAAAACATTTGTGTCCCTCTAGGACTAAGGTTCTGCTACCTAATTTCTAATACCATTGTACAAAAAGAAAAAAAATGTTTGAAATACAACTATGTTATGATAAATCTTTCTGCCAAAGCCACCTGAGCCCTACCGCCACGTGGGCAGTCTCTGCCAGCCGCCCGAGTTCTACCCACCACGTATTTGTACATATTCGGTACAAAGCTACTTGGCCAATTACTAGGATTTCTCATCTGTTAGCTCAGTCTTAATTACCATAAAATCTATATATTTTATAAGACTTATCTTATAGAGGATGCCTTTTTGCTGCCACCCTCTCTTGTTGGTGGATCACATTGCATTGCTGGAGGAAGAGCAGATAGTTATGTTTATAGTTTTCTTCAGTTACTATAAAAGATAAATTATCCTTTTTATTTAGACAGAAAAGAGGAGATGATGAGGAATGTACTGTGTATTTCATCTTATTGATTATTGAATAAAATACTGTTTGGCCAATGAGACAGCAAGTTAGGCAGGACTAGGAGTCAAAGAGGATTCTGGGAAATGTAGTAGAGAAATGATGTTCCAGGCAGGAAGTGACATAACAAGGAGACTCATATTTAAGAAAAGAGAAACAGAAAGTGTCCCTTTTCCCCTCTGCTCTTCCTCCAGCAGTGCAGTGTGGTCCACTGGCAAGAGAAGGTGACAGCAGAAGGCATCCTCTATAAGGTAAGTCTTATAAAATATATAGATTTATGATAATTAAGACTGAGCTAACAGATGAGAAATCCTCGTCATTGGCCAAGCAGCATTGTACCTAATACAAGTCTCTCTGTGCATTAATTGGGGCCCTAACTCAGGCAGGCGGCTGGCACAGAGCACACACATGGCAGTAGGGCTCAGCAGCATATGGCAGAAAGATTTATCATAACACAACTACATCTTTTTACATTTTTTATTTTAATTAGAAATAAAATTATTTTACATGTCAATCCCAGGTCCCTTTCCCTCCCCTCCTAACCCTGTGCCCCCCCACAACTAACACCCTAGGTATCCCATACCCTTTCTGATTCCCATGGATGGTGATGCCTTCCATAGGGGATCTTCAGGGTCTGTCATATCCTTTGGGATAGGGCCTAGGTCTACCCCCTTGTGTCTAGGCTCAGGGAGTATCCCTCCATGTGGGATGGCCTCCCAAATTCCATTCCTATGCTAGGGATGAGTACTGATCCACTATAAGGGGCCCCATAGATTTCTGAGGTCTCCTCATTGACACCCACATTCTGGGTGTCTGGATCAATCCCAATTTGGTTTCCCAGCTATCAGTTTGGGGACCAAGAGCTCTCCCTTGTTCAGGTCAGCTGTTTCTGTGGGTTTCACCAGTCTGGTATGGACCCCTTTCCTCATCCGTCCTCCTCTCTACAACTGGGTTTCACTTCAGTTCTACGTTTAGCTGTGGATGTCTGCTTCTACTTCCACCAGCTGCTGGATGAAGGCTGTAGGATGGCATATAAGTTAGTCATCAATCTCATTATCAGGGGAGGGCATTTAAGGTAGCCTCTCCTCTGTTGCTTAGATTGCCAGTTGGTGTCATCCTTGTAGCTCTCCAGACATTTCCCGAGTGCCTGATTTCTCTTTAAACCTATAATCACTCCCGCTATTATGGTGTCTCTTATCTTGCTCTCTTCTGTTCTCCAAACTCAACCTCCCTGCCCCATCAGGTCCTCCTCACCCCTCCATTTCTCCCCTTCTCATTCTCCTAGTACCCTCTCCGCCCCCCCCATGCTCCCAATTTGCTCAGGAGATCTTGTCCCTTTCCCCTTCTCCAGGGCACCATATATGTCTCTCTTAGGGTCCTCCTGTTTACTGGAAGTGTGGATTGTAGGCAGGTAATCCTTTATGTCTAAAATTCATATATGAGTGAGTACATACCATGTTTGTCTTCTTGTGACTGGGTTACCTCGCTCAGAATGGTTTCTTCTAGTTCCCTCCATTTGCCTGTGAATTTCAAGATTCCATTTTTTTTTTTCGTTTTTCCGCTGAGTAGTACTCCATTGTTTAAATGTACAACATTTTCTCTATCCATTCTTCAGTTGAGGGGCATCTAGGTTGCTTCCAGGTTCTGGCTATTACAAATAATGCTGTGATGAACATCCTTGAACAGATGTCCTTGTTGTATGAATGTGCTTCTTTTGGGTATATGCCTAAGAGTGGAATTGCTGATCTTGTGGTAGACTCATTCCCATTTTCCTGAGAAATCGCCATACTGATTTCCAACATGGCTGTATGGGTTGGCACTTCCACCCAGAATGGAGGAGTGTTCCCCATTCTCCACATCCTCTCCAGCATAAACTGTCATTGGTGTTTTAGATTTTGGCCATTCTGACAGGAGTAAGATGGTATCTCAGAGTTGTTTTGATTTGCATTTCCCTGATGGCTAAGGATGTTGAACCCTTTCTTGTGAGTCTTTCAGCCATTTAGATTCCTCTATTGAGAATTGTCTATTTAGTTCTGTACCCCACTTTTTAATTGGATTATTTGGTGTTCTGGAGACTAGCTTCTTGAGTTCTTTGTATATTTTGAAGATCAGCCCTCTGTCAGATGTGAGGTTGGTGAATATCTTTTCTTTTCTTGATGAATTTATTTCCACTGAAGATAAACTAGAGGAAATAAATAGAATATTGAATCTTGAAAACATCCTAATTTCCTTATCACACAGCTTTACTTTTCTATAATCCAGCAGAAATAATATTCTTCCATTTCCTACTGGCCTTACTCTGTTCAGGCAACTGTATATAATTTTCTAAGTTTTGAAGAGAGTAAAGACAGTAATATGAATGTGTCTGGCAGGAATTAATTAAAAGTACAAGGTATTTTTTATGCTAAGATGTTAACTATGCTAATGCAACATTAGTCTTTATGCACATTGAACACATACTTGAAGTCATTATGTGAATAAATGAATACTCTACAGATTTCTTCTTATTCTTCTATGATGTCAAGGATTTTTATTTTGTTTTGTTATTTGTTTGTTTTTTCATTTGCAAGCCTTTATATGAATGTATCACCTATGGGAAGAGTTCTTGAATGTGTCTCCTTAGGCAGTGCTTTCTATAATTTAACAAAACAGGAATACTACCTGCTCACAGTGACTTTGCAGAACATGGTACACAGTCCATAAAAAGCATTTTTGCATTGATTTTACATACATTAATTAAATCATGATACAAGCCCTTTGGACTACCTACTATTACATATTACTTTGAGAACAAAATAATGTTAGACAATGATAACCTCAATAACTGAAAATAGAATGACTAATGTGGTTTCTGTGTTAATATATGTTCTCAGCTACAAAAATGTGAACACTTTGTGTACACCAATCCTCATTTGAAGTATCTTTTGTTTTGTTTTTGTTTATTTTTTATGTAACTTCTTTAATTACCACTCATATTTAAATATCCATCCCCTCCATTCCCTCCCCCTCCCATCCTCCCATGTTCCCCACCGACTTCCCCAACTCTTCCCCAGGGACAGTGAGGCCCTCCATCAGGGACCTTCAAAGTCTGTCATATCATTTGAGGGAGGGCCCAGGCCCTCCTTGCTGTATCTGGGCTGCAACAGTATCCCTTCATAGGGAATGGGCTCCCAAAGTCCATTTGTGCTCTAGGGTTGAAGACTGGTTCTACTGTTAGAGGCCCCATAGACTGCCCTGGCCTCCTAGCTGGCACCCACATTCAGAGGGCTTGGTTCGGTCCAGTGCTGCTTCTGCAGCTTTATGACTAGTTTCTCCATGTGATGCACAACTTTATAAAATGGCTTTAGTCACACGTGTCCTAGGAGATTTCCATTATTAACAGAGATCTTCTCTCCAAAGAGATGAATGCTTGCTCTATCCCTACCCTTTCAATATATACATGAACTAAAAGACACCACCAGAGCAAAAAGGGAAAGTGACCGTTGTTTTAAATGCACTGGCTTTATGCTTACACCCATGGAACAATATGATATTTAGGTCTTTCCCACTTGAGTGGATTTTGTCTGCCTTACATTTGCATTAAAAACACATTATATGAGGGATTATTAATGGTGATAAATTGGCCAAAAGTAGAAATGGCATGTAGGCATTGGCACCAGGGATAGCATGATTAGATCACTTTTTTAAGGATCAGATTAGAGGATTTCAGCCAGTATCTTGCTTACCTGCAGACACAGAAGCTGAATGATGATTACCTGACAATGAAAATGAAACCAAGACTAGGGTGCTGTCATTATTAGGAATCTAGCTGGCACTGCCCTTGCCACAAGCTGTAGGTCCTAAGGACATGATTAGCAGAGGAAGAGTAAACATCACCAGAACCATTGTAAGAATTTAAAAGATTGAAGTCACATATCCTACAGTGTAACTGTAATTTGTGAGTCATCACATGAGATTACTTTTAGATAAAAAGTTCACCTAATAAAGTAGAAAAAATACCTCCTGAGAAAATAAAATGCTGGCAGATATGGATCTGCCTTTTCAATAACAGAAAATAAACATTAAATCTAAGACTGACATCCAAATGACTTTCTAAGCATAATTTAGAAAGCCCCAAAAATACAGTTTGCTGGGTTGGAAATCAGGCAGCTGGCTGATCTCTAACAACTCTAGACAGTGGTAAACTATCAAAATAAGATGTGCTACTGAGTCCTTCTTCAGTATTATGTGTGTGAATCACAAGAGAACACAAAACCCTGTGATGCTTAAATATACAATAGAACTGTTTCATATGTGTGTGAGAGAGACAAAGTAACATGAATAGAGAGATGAAAGGTACACGTGTAGCCTAATAAAAAGGTTTGATGAATCCCATACACCATTCTGTCTAAGTTGATTCACTCCGCTCATACAAAGGCAGGTACTGTGTAATAGAGGAGAAGAAAAGATTCTGTCCAGTTAAATGTGACCACAAAACCTCTGTTACTCTTATTATTCAGAGGCAAAGACTCATCCAAAGTCTTTGTGCTATGTGTGTTTTGGAAGTCCATATGTGTGCACATGCATCACAACAGGGTCTTTCATTGAACCTATAGATTACTGATTCAGCAGCTGATTGTTCTAGATGTAGACCCATTTGATAGAGCTCCAGGGATCCCCCTGTCTCTATTTCCTCAGCAGTAGGATTATAGGTACTGTATGCTTTGGTGGTTCTTATGTGGGTTCTGGGGATCCAAACTCAGACCCTCCAATTGTATAACAGGCACTCTTATCAATCAAGTATTTATTTCCTCTGCCCATATTCTATGAATTTAGATATGCATCATTGATATTTTTGATCTGTGGAGAGAAAGGGAATATAGCTAACCGGACTCCCAAAATGACAGCTAACTTCTCTAGCTGTATATGTATAAGCCATTGTGGCTACAATCTGTAGAGTTCTCTGTGTAGTTTTACCTGCAAAACATCAGTAAGCACCAGACTAGTTAACCATGTAAATGTGAGAGTCAGGATTGAAAAGATGGTTTTATGGGTAAAAGTATTTGTCATTCAGGTGTAAAGACCTGAGTTCAAATCTCCAGAACCCATGTTAAAACATAATTTGTATGTCTGTAATTCTAGCACCTATAAAAGAAGCAGGAAAATAACAAAATGGTCCCTGTCTAAAACAAGGTAGAAGGTGAGGCCTGGCAGCCACTGTTGCCCTCTGTCCTCAACCTGTGTACCACAGAACATGTTTACCAATATTCAC